CATGCTAGTTTGAAATGGTTTAGTATACCATCTAACATCTTGTTTGGATATGTTGGAGTTGTCGGGGGAGCCGTACGATGGAGAGGGGGCACTTCCTTTTCATTTGAGCAACATGTGTGGGTGCGACGACGACTTCTATAGGATGAGGTGCCCTCTAATCTATTTCTATGCTGTTGAGTTCCACCTGCCAGATAGAGTTGCACGCCAATTTGGAGTGAGACAGCTTTGGCCAACGGCTCCATTCTTGACTGGCGTTGACTTACACAAGTAAGTGTTTTTCTATTTCAAATGTCTTGTGACGGTCCATTTCCATTAATATGGTGACATGTACATGGATTCAAGTAATGATAACATACGTGCAGGTTGGATCATCAGAAGAACAAAAAGATTTTTGACTAGGAGAAGCACCACCAGTACTACATTGAGCAATGGGAGTAGATGCACGATAACGTGGATGAGAACAACGAGCCGCACACCAACCGTGAGTTCAGGCCATACCAAGCTTGGTACCAACATGTGACACATTACAGGCTGAGGCTACAATGGACAGAAGATGACTACGCCGACATCGAGTCCTTCGACAATGAAGACATGGCGTACGACCAATCTACTCGTGCAGGAAGGCAAGTGGAGGCAGGACCAATCTTGGACAGAGTGGTAAGTCAATTGCCTTATTTTTCTACGTTAAGTTGCATACCAATACATTATGCGTTAGAGGTATCTATTTTAGTTAGTGCCACCTTCGAGCCATAGCATCCTTATAATATGTTAGATTCTTGTACAAAAGAAAACAAAATCTATTGCTATCTATTCAGAAGTATTATTACTGAGAACTTTGTTGCAGGGCAATACCCTCAAATGCTCCGTTGAAGACATTGAGCGCTTTCGTCCGAGAGTCAGGGACAATGACATGCGTATCTTCCTAGACGTAAGATTCAAAATATTCTTTCAAACATATTATTAATACATTAGATTCTTTCAGTTAATATAATTTTGTACAACAAAGGATGTCACGTCGGCTATGCCGTGCGATTGCTCGTTGTGGTTGCAGGACAGACACGACGCAAGACGTGTACGTTACTTCCGTAGGCAGAGGAGGCTTAGGTTTCTCTAGCCAAGCACGTACAAGGGACAAGGATGAGGACGAGGGGCGTTTATGGACTATGGACTAGAGGACGAGGAGGGACAAGGACCTGAGGTACTAAGCGATGATGCCATCGACGACCCTTACACAGAGGCACGAGGAGCTTGGTCCCTCTAAGAGCTCAAGACGTGTGGTAGATGTTAGTATGTACTATTATGGATTTTGTAGTTACCTCTATAACTATTTGGGCGATGCCTGACTATTTGGACCGGGACGACCCTTACACTCTAGGTACCAACGCTCTTGGTCACAATATTTGGATTATATAATGAGACTAGTTTGAGGGATGCTCAAGTAAAACAAGAGAGTTTGCGATTGGTAGATGTTAGTATGTACTATTATGGATTTTGTAGTTACTTTCCTATAACTATTTGAACGTGTATAGTATGGACATTATGGACTATTTGGACTATGCAGGACATGTTATGCTTTTGATTGTGACTTTTCGATTATATTGTGGTTGTATTTATGCTCTTTGGACGATTAAATATTTGGATTATATAATGATGTCTCTCTTTTTGTAACATGGATGCTCCTAAAACAAGAGAAACTCTTGAATTTTTACGTGAATCATTAATTATACTACCTATACCATCGCTAAAAAGGCACAAATGTAGTACACAATTAAATGTAAATTCATTAGAACGTGTATAGTCTAATCACTTATACGGTACACCTATAGCATCGCTTTTCAATGATGAATCTAGGCGACAAATAGACTTTTAGGAAACAAATCTAGGCTTTTTCGGTGTCCATTGAAATAGGCTCGAAAATCTAGGCTTTTGACCGGTTATAACACAATGAAAATAGACTTTTCATAATCTTTGGATGCATTTATAAGGATTTTCTTTTCGTTGCGATACAAGTACAATGAGGGAGAAAGGGAAGGATTTATCACTTGGGACTTACTTAGTACACTTTATAGCATATAGGGTTTTTCAAAAGTGATTTCACCAAAGAGGCACCACCGAGAGGATACGATGAACGAAAAGAAGAGGCTTTTTAGACAATGAAAATAGACTTTTCGAGGGAATACAAGGTCGTCGTTTCTTCAAATGCCCACGACCATGGGTAATTGCTATTACTATTTGTTTCTTCAATATGTTCCTCTTATATATAAGTTACATGACATACTTATTGTTGTCTTCCTTGGCCAAAGAAAGCTGTGGGTTCACTAGGTGGGTCGATCTCGATTTATCACTTCACTTACATAGTACACCTATACCATCTAGGCTTTTAGTAGTAACGGATGACAACAACAACGATTCATAGGAGGCACTCGCAATGATCCATGTGTTTGTACCTTCTCCATAGTACCACCAACAATGGGGCTACTATGGAGAAGGTGCAACACTATTTCTTATGACCACACATGGCTATCTTATTCACATGGCACATCCATGTGTTTGTTGTTTGGTTTAATTACCTAAGACATGTTAGGTTTAGTCGAAGGAACTATGTACCCTAGTTCGGTACATGTTCGCACATGCCATTTCATGTGTTTTGTGTGTTGAATTATATAATACCCTACTTCGTTAGGTTATGTTTGCAGCACGTGATCACATTTCACTACGTCCGCAATATTATACTGAATATTATGACCACAAATAATGAAAATAACTACATAATAAAAAGTCAAATACTATGCCACATTAAAACAACACAATAATACTAGAAGTACGTGCCGACAGTAGACAACATTATTTATGAATAAACCATAGAACTAGTAAGTCATGGAGACTACTGAGTGCAATGAGGCCACTTTCCCTTCCTCAGGCATTGTGATTCTCCTCCATCACTACTTTCGCTCGGCGTGCAAGCTCAAGCTTCTTCTCCCTCTCTTCCCTGTACGCAACAACACGCCTCCTTTCCTCCTCTTCCTTGTGCTCCTTTTTTGTAGCCTCCTCTCCGCGTCTCTTCTCCATCATCTCCTTGTCCTCTGCCTCCCACTGCAACAGTTCTGCATCCATTCCTTGTCTTCAGGCTTGATCTCATTGTCGATCCACTGCTCAAAATCACAGAGCGGTGGAGGGGTCTACAAAAAATGCAATTGTTACAAAACAAAAAAATCATGCAAGATGTCATATGACATAAACATTAATTCCTCAACATCTTGTTAATGCGGCGTTGACGAAGTGTAGGCTCAAACGCAAAATTGGAACACATCCAATACCTCTGCCTATACGTGTCCTCTTCATCGGACTTGGCTACCTTGCAAGGATTGCCACAAAAGCACATGGGCACTGGAACACCACTAGACAGAGGCAATGGGTCGAAGGCATTTCCGGTCATCCGGCCATAACTACAATTCAACCAATTTTGTTATAAGAACCGAAAACAATTAACATTAAACCATAAACCTAGGGTTTTCCATTTGATGCACAATAATGAACCCATAACATAACAACATGTGCTAAGGTTACCTTAGTTTGCTAGCTTTTCCACACCTTGGCATCCTACGGTTGTATAACAAATATTAAAAATTACATAAAACCCTAAGTAATGACGATTCTTAGGTTGAAAAATCCGACTAATATATACCGAATTGATGCAAAAAAACTAGGAGGGGAGCGAGAATACCTTGCTCTCAAAGATCTACGGATCAAATCAAAGTTTTCAAGGTCCAATATGCCGATTCGTGAGGTAGGGCGAAGTGGGGAGAGAAAAAACCCGAAAGGGAGGAGAAAGAAGAAGAAGAAGGCTCGGGCAGGAAGGTTGGGGGCCGGGTTAAAACACCACCTCGGCGCCATAGATATTGGCGCCAAGCTCGGTGCCAGGATCTACGGCGCCAAGCTCGGCGCTAGGATCTACAACGCTGAGCTGCCTGCCAAGTCATCGTCACGTCTGTGTCGAGCCCAAGACCTCGGCGCCAGCAGCGATGGCGCCGAGACATCAGCTAAGGGTCTAGATTTTGAAATCATACCTTCAGAGACATATTTATGAAAAAATTTCAAAAAAAGGCTAAAAAATAAAAAAAAAATCGGAAGACTTAGCAACAGAATGGAAGCACGCTGTAGGAAGCAGCTGAGAATCGACGCCATGTATCCACCACCAAATCTAAGGAGTTAATAAAAAAAGTGGTTATAAAAAAACGATTGCATATGATACATACTACTCTCTCCATTCCAAATTATAAATCGCTTTGACTTAAATTTGCTATATATAGACATGCATTATATCTAGATGCATAGCAAAATAAATATACTAAAAAAAAGTCAAGATTACTTATAATTTGGAACGAAGGGAGTACTAAAGAGCTTGAGAAAAACAAACATTGGAGAAGAAACTAGTTATTCATCTGTACCTGGACTTGTGGATTGATTGGAGCAGCCAGTACATCGTAAGCTCAGCTCACCGGAGAACTGAGCTTCTGAGCAGGGTCTTCTTGTAGTAATTGGAGTGGCGTGGTTCAAAGAGGGAGGGGTCACTACTACAATAACCATTTGTAGGGGTGGCTAAAGATCGTTTGTAGAGGCGGTTCAGCCAGCCGCCCCTACCATATCGTCTCTACAAATCATATATTTATAGAGGCGTTTCTCAGACCTCCCTACAAATCGATTTGTAGGGGCGGCTACAGTACCAACCGCCCCTACAGTACATTTTTTCCCCAAAAAAAATTAAATTTACAATTCTAATTCGACCGGAACATATATTTTTCATGCACAACTCCATCATGACTTATCTTCTTCTGCGATTGTACTGAAACTCAAATATCTACAACATAAGTATTGGTCCAACTACAATGAACATATTACTTAATGCTAACTTGTTAGATGAGGAACTCTACAACATGAGTATTGGTCTGACTGACCATAAAATGCTATCATGCTGCCTAGATAGCTAAAGATGTTAACAGCTAAACAACAATGCAAAGAATCAGATTGTTACTACTACTGATGTTGTTTGATTGTGATGATCCTAGTGTTGCATCTTCACTCCTAAAGCTGAAGCATGTTGCATCCAGCACACCAATCGGGCTTTCTGGCACTGAAGGGCTTCCATTGATGTTCCTTCTCTTCTTCACCAGCGCCTGCTCTTGCAACAGCTCATAGCATCTAGCAATCATCTCCTGGAAATGGAAGATGCAAGCTTCACACTTTGAGAAATTGTGTAAATGGCAATGTTGCATTGATCAGTTTTTGCGCAAGCTAAAAGACACTCACCTTATTTACAGGGACTTCAGATGCTGAAAGAACACTCGCAAAGCCAACAATCTGATTCTCAGAAACCGCTGCTAGGGCCGAGGCCGCAGCAATCTCAGATGGTCTGAATGACAAGAATGTAGAGCCTGTAAATCCATAGGATACAGATGTTTAGCTAGTACACACAAACATAGTGCTATCGGCAATGTAGGTAAGTGAATTGAATGGACGATGAAGCATCATGGGTAAGGTCAATCGAACCTTTGAGTGTGCCAATTATGATCTCGGCGCACCGTGAGGCTAGTGCAAAACTCGGTGGCTTCCCATCACTGAACTTGTCTAGGAAGTAGCTGATGAAAGTGAACGGGGTCACAGCCTGCATTCTCCATTTCAGGGTTTTCATCACAAGACCCTCCATCCGCCCAATAGTATTTCCTTCAAACTCAAATTTCACATCGCAGACCTATCATGCAGCATCAAATTTTAACAATTTCATCAACCAATCAGTGAACAATTATTCGATACCACAATGCTGCAATTTCTCCTTCACCCACCTGAAGGTCCACAAGAAGAGGGACCACAGTCTCCTCCATCTTGGCAGCAAGAGATAGGCAAGCAACTGACAACAACTGTTGCATCCAAGGGTTATCGTGCTACAACAACAAGAATAAACAAAATAGGAAAAAAAAACACATCCATTAGTTAGAGATTAACTGGACACAGCAAGCAGACAACCAATGTACATGCTCAGATTCTTACTGGGAGCTCATACAAGGAGAGGAATCTATCCAGGTAATTCACAGCAAGGTAAAAACTGAGTGGTGGTCCATTAGAAATTTTAACAATTGGTTCTTGCATTTCCCTGCCCTGGATTACAGAGGGAATACAGAATTGTTTTGGCATCATTTTTTTTCTTTTAGCATGGCCGCCTTTCCCTAGACTACACTATAGAGGGAGTACAGATTTTTTCTCAATATGCAATGCTAGCCTTGGGAATTGGGATGCCACCGCATATGGGCACTCAAATACCACCATTCCATTGCTATTCGTCTATTGTATAATACTAGAACACAAGTGAAGATATTTAATTTGCACTTTACAATCGATTAATCATGATACACAACTGAACCATTAAATGGGAACTTTGACTAAGTTGGTAGTTGTTAGAACTTGAGTTTCCATATTTGTCGTACACTACTTTTTGCTTCTCCTTTGCCTTCAACCATGAACATGGGACCAGAAAACTTCATGAAATACGTACTCAAGAAGTGCATCAAACCGATTCACCTCTATATTAATTACCCTGAAGACAACACATAACTTTAGCTTGTTATCGAACTTCGCAGCAAGACCGTGTCCGTTGAAAGAATGGAGCAACAAAATTCACGGCCTACTAAACTTGTTGCAAATATAACACAACTTTGAAGCTGCAAATACCTATACGCCAGTGTACTAAGTTAAGAGAGCACAGCCATAAAATCAATGAAATGCAAGAACCAATTGTACTAAGTTTAGAGGGCACAGCTGTAAAATCAATGAAATGCAACTACCTTCCTAAAATAACTCGATTTTGTCCACTAGAAAAAAGGAATGAAATGCAAGAACCAATAAATTCAAGAGATTTTTTTATTTCACCTTGCAAATCCAATCCATGGCGTCTCTCCTCCAAGAGGACTCCAATCCGCCTCTCTCCAGCCTCTCTGCATAGCCCTCTTGAGGTTGGTGGTCCATCTCCTTCTCCACCCACGCCGGCACGGCCTCATCGGTGTCCACGGGGAACACGGAGCCAACAGCGGAGTCCAACTCCCTGCCTCCAGCAGCTCATCGCAGCAGCTGATCCTCGCCGCCGCACCCGCTTGCCAGATCCAGGCTCATCCTCACCGGATCAGGCTTCTCCTCGCCGGATCTGGTGGTGGCCACTTGGATCTGGGCTGGTCCTCACCGGATCGAGCTCATCCTCGCCGGATCTGGTGGTGGGCGCCACCATGTGCTTCATGCGGCCTCCAGCAGCGCGCCGGAGGAGAGAAGGTGAAGGGGACCACGCCACCAAGTCCCGCCACTGCTGGAGCTCGACGGGAGGCCGCGCCACCGAGCCACGGCACCGAGCTCCGCCATCGTGCCTACTTTGGGGGCAGGGGACAGGGTCCTGCGTGCCGCCGACATAGGCGGGGGACGGGCCCCCACTCGACGCCGGCGCTGGAGGAGGGCACCGAGCCCCGCGCGACCATCAGGAGGCCGCGCCCCAGAACCCCCACCACCCTAGGGTGCGCCGCCAAGTGCCGCCGCATGGAGAAGAGGGGGGTGCGACGCCGTGCGCCTTCGCTGGAGAGGGAGGTCCCGTCACCGCGTGGGGGAGAGACCGAGGGGCTCGGAGGAGAGGGAGGGTGCGGCGCGGGGAGAGGGAGGGAGGGTGCGCCGCGCGGTCGGGCGAGGAGAGGGAGGGGCGGGCGGATATCGAGATGGAGAGAGAGAGGAGGACAGCAAATATTTTGGATAGGCGACCTAGTTATTGTACGTAGGGCATTTGTAGGGGCGGCTCAATCACCAGCCGCCCCTACAAATAGAAACACCGGGGGCGGCTGGTGAGTGAGCCGCCCCTACAAATTCTACCTATTTGTAGGGGCGGCTCCTGCTGTTCCATTTGTAGTGACGGCTGGTCTCGTGGATCCTGAGCACGTCACTGTAGGGGCGGCTCCATCACCAGCCGCCTCTAAAAAATTGTCCCGTTGCTACAAACCGTTTTTCACATAGTGGGTGGTGGCCAGCCTCCTTCCCCTCCCACTTCAGATTTTTCCACCAGTCCTTCTCGCAGTCCACGACGGGGCAGCTATGCCGGCAGTCAGAAGTGGCTGGGAGGCGCTTGAGGCTTCAGCATCCCCTCACCCAGATGTTCTGGAGCTCAGGAGCAAAGATCTTGGCCTCACATATCTGATGCAGTTTGGGGAGCTCATGTAGGTAGATGTTCTTCAGCTTTGGGAATTCTAGTACCCCTTTTGGACGGTGGTCAGTAGTTAGCTTCTTTAGCAGCTCAGCTTCTATGGGGAAGACCTGACTGAGGTTACCACAATAAACAATGTGGATGGTTTCCAAGCTGGACAAGGTAAACCATGACAGTGGGAGCACAAATGTGAGCCTGGGACAGGAGTGCAGATGTATCGTCTTGAATTTTGCAAAGTAGTTATGGTCCGTCATATTCACCCGTCTTCCTTTGCTCCAAATACAACGGGTCATCAAGAGATCCTGCCCCCAAAAGGTCTCCAGTTGATGAAAGCAGCTTATATCATTGTTAATGTTAATATGGCAAAGACAGTGTCCAGTACGGGGCATCTCTCAACACGGCACCACTTGAGGCAAGACCAATCAACCATCATCTTTTTTGTTATCATCTCTGACGTCCACCGATCCTCCTCTTCTACCTCTATGCACATTGTGTCTTTGGTGATAACAGTGCTGATGGAAGAATTGTCGTGCAGTAGCAACGAATCAACATTATTCATAAAAAATATTAGAGCCCTCGTTCCTTGTTTACTGACCACATTTCTGTTTCTTATTCCTCCACCAATCTCTAAATGGAGTTCCAGTGGTTCAAACTGCTGCGCACTGCTGCCATCATGATCAACAGTTGCCTTGTCAAAGTTGACATCACTTAGGTCCGGTAATTCTTGGGGACCAACGTGCAGAGTTGATCCAACTAGTTGTCCAGTGCTACAAGGGCCCATATCTTCCTTGTTGCTATTTGCATTTTCTTTGCTAGTACAAGACAAGCAGATGTTCAGGTTTAGCATAGCAGTGTTCCAGCCAAATCCCTCGCCACTTGCTGCCATCAATGACTGAAGGAACCTTAAGTCCGTAGCATAAACAACACTTGAACGCCTATATTCTTCTTCTTGTTTACCGATCAAAGAATCACGTGACATTTTTTACTTGATTGTTTCTCCTCCTCCTCCTCCTCCTCCTTGAGTGTCGATGCCTAGTACCATTAGTCTAGGCATTCCCCTTTTTGGCCAAAGTACAGCACGGAGGCGCTTACATCCCATCAAAATGAGCTGTCGTAGGCATGGGACATGCACCTCTGTGAGATCAAGTGTTTTGACTGATGTGTTTGAGAGGTCCAGCTCCTCAAGGTTCTGGAGAGATCCATCCAATGTGAAGTTCACCAACCTTGCACAGGCAGCCATGGAGATACGGGAGATTTTAGCTTCCTTGTAATGGTGCGTTCCTGGACATAGGACACTGAAGCTAAATGTTTCAAGCGATGGAGTGAGTGATTCCGGGCCAACATGTTCTAGTCCAGTAGAACTAGGGTATAATATGATAGTTCAGGACATTATCATTTATTCAGTTGATACCACGGTCCATGCATCGTGGAATTACAAGTTTACAAGATATTGCAACACTTAATTAGTAACCCACCTAAGTACAATGTTATTCTAGCGGAAACGCACAGAGAACAGCATCAGAGTAGACGTAGAGCGTCAGCGGGTGAAGACTCTTCCTTCACGGGCAATCATCAGAGTAGGCGTAGAGTGTCAATGGGCGTAGTCTTTATCTCCTGAACCAAACTTAACCGTAGGTATGAGACCATTTAATTCTTCTAATCTCTATTGTTGTCATCATAGATGGCATCCAAATCCTGCTAAACAATTATAAGTACGATTTGTACTGACCACTGGCTTCCACCCTATGCTTTGTGTTTGCTTTGTAGTAAGTGGAATGCAAGGGTACAGCAAAAGACCTATTTATGGCTGTAGTTTTTCTATGCAAGTTCATCAATATTTTTTAATAGTTCGTCAAGTTTTAACCCATCTCATCCACACATTCACCCATCCCATGACACACATCTCACCACACTCTCACTCTCTAGGCGGCAAGGACGACTCCCTCTCGTACCTTGCCTTAACGGCTAACAGCCGAAATCCAACAAACCCGGGGGGAGAAGAAGAAAGGACTCCACTCACTAATCAAAGGAAGCGTATGTCATAGGAATGTCCACATCCGTGGACATGGCTATACGTATAGATCGATCAACTCTTCAGCGCGTGTACATCTGGAACCACAAGATCACCATCATTGGCGGTGCCTCGCCTAGGCTGATACCGGGCTACCTTCCAACCGGTGCGATGCCACCCTACCAATCAGCCCTGGGCCACCTCGGAGTCTACCAGCATGCTGAGACTGTGAGACGTATTACCGGGCCCCAGAGGTCTCTACGTTGTCTTAGGAGGGTGTGAGCCATACGTCCGTACCTCCCTACACTATCCACTTCCAACTTGGCTGTAGTGGCACCGTCCGAGCTGGTCAACATCCGTCCCCCGCCCATTCAGGAACGAGTGGCGTGCACGTAGGATCCTATGATCCGGTTCTCTTGACATACCAGTCCTTAGGGGGACCAGGCAGGATATCTTCTCAAAGGGGATAACCAACACCCCGTGCCTCAATGGCACCTCCATCTCGGGGCTTCATCCCAAAAAGACACTCCACCCTGGGACCTTCTCATCTCACATGTACCCGCCATAGGTACCTCTCGTAGGGAATACCCAGGTCGCAGCGCCCTGACAAGACTCATCCAAGACTCGCCGTAGAATCCTACCTGATTGACTTGACCCTCACCACACACCCAAAACGCACGCCAAGATCTCCTCGGTTATTACCACATTATCGGCACCATGTGCCTTAGCCACTCACAAACAATCCTCCACCAAGAATCACATCACAGATTTAATGCATAGTAGAAGTAGAAGCAAGTAATAAGCGAGCGTCTAACCTATCAGCGGGTGTGCAGGGGTAAAGGTTGCGTCAAGGTAATGGCTTTCAAGCAATTCTACCATGCAACCTATCACAGATTATTTGCATGAAAGTAAAGCACTAGTAGCTACATTATTGCATGTCTAATAGGATTCTACGAGGTTGGGTGGGACGTGGCACCTGTTGATTGGTCGACTCCGAGATCCTCAGTGTACTCGTAGTTGTTCTCCTCAAATCCCTGTTGTCGTTCGCGTTTCCTTCCACCAACGGGTTCCGGTCCAATCAACGCTATCCTCGATACAGCTACTACGATAGAGCGACAAACAAGGCAAAAGAACAATCAACCCACTAAACCTAGAAAGACTGCGAATAAAGAGGCAACAACACACGAAAAGATTGAATAACACCAAAAGAACACCAAGGGGAAAGACTTAGCCCTAGCGGAGGATTTCCGATCCTTGGGCCGAAAAGAGGCAGAAGTGGTTGTTTGCTAAGCACAAGCTCAAGTCATAGCCTAGCCAGTACTTCCTGGGCCAATCGTGTCGACCTATATGGTTTCAAGAATAATGGCTGAGACCCTAGCTCAACTTAAGCAAATGCCACGAAAAACAAGGCTAGCCCTCACAAAATGAGTCCATTTCCCTCAGGCTTAAAAAGGAGCGAGGGAGAAAGTTAGCTAGGCATGTCCATGTCACATCCTAGGTTTATTTGGCACTCTTACGGTTGATCGGGTTGACTCACATGATTCCGAGAACACGACATAGACGCTAACCTTACTAACTAGAAGTGATAGTCCGGTCTTTGATCCGGTCATCATGGCTAAGGACGGCATCGAACAGAACGGGCTAAGGAGGAAAAGGGATGGAATCAAGAGAGCAAAAGAGCAAAAGTGGTAGAGCCCAATGGTCATGGCGAGGCAACTCGCGGCCATGAGCTTCACCTACACGAGTCGGCTTCCATAAATCCCATGACGGTCGTCCCCGAGTTCGTCTCCTATAGACTAGGTCATGATGGGCTCATCGTGTGCGGGTAGGAAGCGCACCGATATTGAGCCCATGGTGGCCACACCCTAGAGCCATAGACGGGGCCAACGATCACGGCACTACAAAGTCAACTAAAAGCGAGGGGTCGAGTTACGCTCGGCATCATGGCCATGGCAGGACGAACCCACGACCGAGATGTTCGAGCGAGGTACGATCCCTCGACCGGCTCGAAGGCTCGGTCCACAGATGACAACGAACAACACACAAA